CCCCAAAACCCCAAAACCCCAAAACCCCAAAACCCCTAAATTGCACGGTCAATTGAATAACAATAATTTTTTTATAAAGCAAATAGAAGAGTAAGTTGGAACTCAGGATCTAATGAGTATCTCCTGGCTGAGCTAGGACACCTTACTAGATGCTAGTTTATTTTACTGTCTTCTTTACACACATATTAACTTTTGTAGTGCTTGAAGCGAAATCTCACGACAAGCAAGTCAAACTAATCCTCATTGGAGATTACAGCGTTGGAAAGTCAAGTATTCTTCACAGGTACTGTGAAGATGCCTTCTGGCCAAAGCACATGCCTACTATTGGTAAGTACCTACGCTATGTACTTAGCTCTTGTTCATGTCTTTGGAATGTTTTGCGAGTAATTTTAGAGTATTTTGGTCGAACCGGTTTAATGAAAACTCAATATTTTAGTGTCACTAACATCAAAATGTTGGTTTTCTGGATTAGATTCATTAATTATAGGAGTTGATTTTAGGACAAAGTTCGTACGTGATGGAAACAATACCATTAAGATGCAGCTTTGGGATACTGCTGGCCAGGAGAAGTACAGGACAGTCACTAGCAACTTGTACAAGAACACTTCAGTCGTTCTTCTAGTTTATGACTGCACTGATCTAAATAGCTTTGACAACGTAGCCAATTGGATAAAACAAATCGAAATGAATGTCTCTGAAAAGACGATTATCATCCTAATAGCCAACAAGATCGATCTAGAGAACCGTCTCGTCTCTACTGAGGATGGCGAAGCCATGGCAGAGGCTTATCGAGCCAATTATTTCGAGACTTCAGCAAAGACAGGCCAAAACATTGACAAAGTCTTTGACTATTGAGTTGAAAATATCATGAATTACACTGTTCCCAGGTTCAAAAGAGATTCTCAGCGTCTCAAGCGGGAAACTGAGAAGGATAAAGCCAAGGCTAAGAAAAAGAGAGGCTTCTGAAGAAGCCTTGCCAAGTTATTTTCTTAGCTCAATTTTGTCGAGCCAAAATATTCAATGTAATCTCACCTAATTTCTGGAAATTTTAAGTCTTAATCTTCTTATTTTTGGGTAGATTCGGCAAATATTTCATCAACTTTTCTGATTTCAACCAGGATTCATCAGTTTGGGGTTTTGGGGTTTTGGGGTTTTGGGGTTTTGGGG